GTTAAGTGCAGCGTATGAGGTTCATATACGAAAGGAATTTTGATAATTCTCGTCTGTCGGTAGCGTATTAGGTCATATGATCTTAGTCGCATGATCCAGTGAAGCATTCTCTTTCAACAACGTATGCACTTTTCTGATAGCAAAGAATCTCCTGAATCGGACCGTGTAAAGAAATTGTACGTTGCTGGGTAAACCTAAGGACTCGCATAATTTGAAAATGGAAACCATGATGTTTCAGGTTGATCAATCTTGAGATCCAACTTATGGAGTGAGGCAGTCGAAGGAAATCAATTGCTCAGCTCAGGTGGATTGAAACATTTCAATTTCAGAAGTGCACAAAGAGTAATGGCAATATGTTTGCATTTTCATGAATCACGAACGTTCTGAGAAGAGCTGCAATAGTGCGAACAACGATGAAAATAAAATCATTTTCCGCTATATTGGTTCAATTCAGTACAATCGTAGCAAACTTTTCAAACGCACAACATTGAGCTGTCCTAACCACAGGCAGTCATGTAGTATTTATTTCTGCAGTTTTGGTCGTATTTTAATTTTCAGTCATATTTATTGTGATGATTCGTTTTCAGCATCAAACATTTTCATACATTAAATGGCAAATTCTGGAATATTTTTCGTTTGCTCTTCGCACTATCAGAAATCGTCTTTAACAGGTGATCTGATCATCTCGAATCGTCCATAATAATGGAAGAAGCCTGCGAACTTCCTCTATCTGCAGAAAGCGTTTTGAATTCATTGAAGAATATCACAAACTACAAACTTTTAATCAGAGAAAAATAATGCTTACAATTAGGACTGATTCAGTTGGTGATTGCCATCGTTTTTTTCGAATTTTTTAAGCACAAATTAACAAACTTTAGATTCCTTCTTGGTATTGGAAAACCTTTTAAGAAGATGATTAAGCATGAATTATTTCTAAGATCGAATTGCACAGTTATCCTTATACTGAAAGTAATTATAGCCGGAATGTTTGATTTAACACGTCTTCGTCTACAGGATACAAATAAAAACGCCGACTGCAATGAGCAAACACTGATCAGCAAAGAAGTTTTATGGATGTTCAAATGAAACCTGTTCTGGAGTTGTCTGTAATTTGCTTTTATATCCAAACTTTTCGAGAATTTCAAGCGGTTTCAATTGTTCCAAATTCTTTAATAGCACACAGCAAATGAAGAGGTTCAGAGTGAGAATTACGATTTGAAGCGAAATGATCCACTCGACTGACTAAAAATAATCAAAAAAAGCTGATAATCGTAATTTTCACTCTGATTGTTTGAATTTCATTATTTTCCACAGTTATCATGGAGATCTACTGAATGCTATGTGGTATAGTGACGACGTGGTTGAATCCGAAGTCCATTTTTGATTTCACCTGTCAACAGTATGGTCAATGAGGAACTAACACTGGATAGCTTTCATTCCCGATATTTTCGCCGGGTTCTTCCTGTTCATAATAATGCTTGCTGAAGCACACACCAAACCCAAAGTATTCAACTACCTAAGGTGTCTTCTTTGCAAATATACGACAATACTTAGAAAGTGAATTAACAGAATACGAAAAATCACATACAAAAGTAACGTTATATAGCAAAGGTAATGCTGCCATGAGTAGAGCTCTCACTATAAAAGCAATCGATTGTACGGTAATCGTTGATCGACCAAATGTGACTTCTGTAGCGATTGACCAACTTGAATGTTCAATACCGATCGCATATAGGAATGAATATAGCGATGCACAGCAAACTGTTATGGTCACCGATAGAATCTCTAGAATTTCATGAGGAAATAGAAACAACTGGTTGCAAGCACAGCGATTCCAATACGTTCGAGTGGCAATTCGTTATTAGCAGTAATCATAACTGGAGGAATGGTCTCACTCATAAAACGAATCACGTGACTACATTCAAGAAAATAACAATGAATGATTATGATTCAACGAACAAATATGTTTTCCTTTTTTATGATGGTTCGGTCAAGTGTTGCTCCACGATTCTTGACACGCTTCTGATATCTAACTATTATTTTCTTGATATCAAATTAAAAATACTTGATTCAAGAAAGAAGAAGTGACCATTTGATTCGAGAACAAAATTGCGCACAAAGATCAAAAGAAAGCGCATAACGATCATGCCGAGCGTACTCACCTGAAAACATCCATCATAATGAACTTCGGTGATAATCAGTGAAACTATTAGCACTTATATCGAAACGTCCACGTGTTCTCATTACTATTACATTCTCTTTGAATCGCTCGATTTTTGACAGTTGTTTAAAGCTTTAAACTATTATTCGTTGTCACCAATCCTCGTTAGAATGCCATTAAGCATCAAATATTTTCAAACATATCAATAAAACTATCAAAAAAGCGATTCACAATTAAAAGCAATCGTTTACGAAGAACCCATAACAGTGAAGCGATGAGCAGCTGAGAAGCGATTGAGATCAACAATGAAATTGTGTGAATAAACACGAACCACTCCTAAAATTTCGTAGAGAACGAGAGATATTCCAGAAAAGTTTAATTGCTAAAACAGAAAATAAACATGACGAGTTTCCCACTTATTGAGCAAAAAACTTGAACTGTCATGCCTCTCTGAACTGCCATGTTCATAATGAGCATATGGCTCTGAGACAGTATGAATTCTAGAGAAAATTGGTGCATAAATTGCTCAAAGTTACTTTTTTACGCTAGCAGTTGANTGCGGTATAACTGTGCTGAGTGAGGTACACACGTATGGTTTTTTTCGAGATACCTAAAAACTTCCACGAATTCTGTGCAGTTGCGTCGAACTGAGTGTGATTAGAATTGCAGAAGTTAGCGAAACCAGTTATCAGTAGCGATAATTGAGTTCGGAAGAGAATTCATAATTACAATTCATTGCTCTAACAAGAGGAACGTGATACCAGCAGATGGTGTCTCGATTTTAAATTGAAATAATCGAATCTTATGCTACCTGATGAAACTGTATCGGCAGTAATGTGCGTATGATGGGTGATTGCTGACATAAGGCTGCACTGATATTAACAGACATCGTCACTGCTATCGCACGCAACCATACTGGTGCGAAGCACCGCATCGCAGAATGTTTCTGAATTCAATCATCTAGGTGTTTCGAGAGAATTAACTACAGTCACCCATCATGGAGATTATTAGGAACGTAGTTCCATCACATCTGAGATTAGCACCAGACGATGGGTCAAGATGGAATTAAAAAAGTCGGATGATTTCGAATCCATAGGATGTTAAAAGTCATATTTTGAGGGGGATGCTGAACGGTCAAGAAAGTAGTATTTTGAGATATCAAAAAATGCAAAATGCAAAAAGCAAAATCGTGATGAAATGACTATGCGGATGTTCGAGCCGGAGGTCGGTTGCATATCAGAAGTAACCAATCAATACAGGTGAGCATTATTTTTGATTTCGAATAATTTTAATCAGACAAATAAATGCCCAATAGGTAGTTTTCAGTAAGTTTCGAAAGTGCAATCACCTGAGCTCGAAGTCTAGCAGATGCCTCGCAAAGTGCCTTTCCAGTATTTTCGTCACCATGATAATATTGAGCGCTTTGTTCGGCTTTTTCGTCTAAGCCACACATTAATAGTATAATGGGTGGTTCTTTCAGCCTCATCACTCAATGAAGACTGCTTATATTGAGATCGTTTCCTTTGAATTCAAAAAGAAAAATTCATAGGAACAAAGCAAAATTTTTCACTTTCATATTCTTTGAATATGTTTTGTTGAGAAAAATTCAATTATCACGAAGTATTGTCGCAGAATTCATTCGAAACTCTTCCCACTTTGTAATTAATGAACAAACTTACTGTAAATAAAGATTAGAATCGATGTTAAGGCTGGTATTGACAAAGCAAAATACAAGCAATTTGCACACTTCAATACACCCAAATGTGCAACTGTCACTCCGACGACGGCACCAAGTGACACAGAAATTCCTTAATTAAAGTGAAAACGAATGAAATTGCAACAAATTTTTGACGTGCATTCCTATCATTCATTTGAGAAGACACTGATCAGACCGATATCAACATCCAAAACGTATTCGGAAGGATGTGAATAAGTTTACTTTCTTCTGCACAAGTCTGGTCGCAATGTGAATCCATCTTACCGCTAAAAATAAGAAGACTACCACGATATGCGTCCAATGAAATCTCATTAATAAAAATCGTTTGATATCCAATGAAAAATCCAATTGAAATTCCAGCGAACAATCGTAAGAATGAGGATATACCGAACGCAGCCATACAGCTGAAGGGTATGAAAAGTGACGACGAGAAAACAATCATAGTCAAGCCAATTAAAAGACCACAATGTATCTGGAAAAATTCCTGTATCATGAAATGAATATCTCAAAAAATGCCTGAATCTAATATAGTTGCCGTTCCATCTGAAGTGCTTTTATCAAAAGTGAGGGCATTCTTGTAACACAATTCAACTTCTGATTTTGAGCATGCATTCGAATTCGTTTGATTAGTGATTAGATTAGGTAAACATGAGATTGGGCAGAATCTTTTCGATTTTTGCACTAACTGAAAACTTCTATGTGAATTAAGCATGGGTTCTAAAATGACAAAATCATCTCATTGGGGAGGGGGGGGGGGGGGGGGGGGGGGAGTNGGAGAAATTTCTCGGTTTCAAGAAACGTTAAATGCACAGCTCCAAGGCTTTGCAAACTCCTAGAATCGTTTGTGTGAAGTAAAAACACGAACAAATAATGACCTGCAATAATCGAGCACTGAACGCAAAACACAAAAAGCCGATTGCAGAGCCGACATAAAACATGAGAAGATGAATGTTTATGCTTGAGTGATCGTCGAAATGGCTCTGCTTGACAACATCTTCAGTAAAAGCATCTGCATTACCGTTCCAAGCAATCATCGATATTGCATCCTGATATCCAAATTGCGCACTACCAGCCAAGCATACAAGGACGACACCCACTGATACTCGACGACTTGGTAATTTCAGTTCAGCACTGCAGTAAATCTTCTGCATTTAATAAACATGATTTCAGCTGAAGGCGAATATGTTTGATACTTTCCACTGATGACGAAAAATACTAATGGAAAAAGTAAATAATTGTGGATGAGTATAACCAGCAGAAAACTTTTCATTTTCTATGAACTCAATGAACGGACAATGGAAAATCCTTAAAGCCCCTACAGCAGTGGTTCTCATAGGGGCTGAAATTACCCACTTTGCGCAATTTGGAGGTNGGGGGGGGGGGGGGGGGGGGGGTAGGGAAATTAGTATTTCATACAGTTTTACATTTATGCCGTTGTGGTGGTGTTTTTAAATTCAGGTATGCAAATGCGGTTAGTTGATGACAACACTCTTATTTTCTGTGTATCATTAACTCGTCCAGGCCTAATAGGGTTTTCGTTCGTTTTAACAGGGTCTTCATTCTTTTCCTTGATGCTACAATCATTCTCATAGCTTTTATCACCAAAAGTGTTCTCTATTGCTAATTTCTTATTCATTTCGCTCAACAGTTAAAGTCAAACTCTCATTCTAACAAATACACTCTATAATTGATCATTTAACAGTCCAAAGTTGTTGAGCAGTTCAATTCGATTACTGTATTGTTGATTTCGGCTGTTAACACTGGTTGAAGTGAGCGTGGCATAGA